TCGACCCAGCAGGAGCTATGGAGATATTCCTCTTCTTTGTTTGGGGTTTGGAGGTGCCCAGATGAGGCCCAGCTGTGAAGCAATGCAAGCTGCTGTGGGGCCTTGGACCTTCTTTTGGAAGTTTTAGGTCTCTCTGACTCAGCTACAGTTTGTTAGGTAATTTTCAGGTTGCAAAGGGCCAGGCCTTTCCTATGCAAAAGCCTCTGAGCACAGCTTGGGTGGGGCGGGGTCTCAGGGGATCAACAGGGCAGAGCAAGCAGCTATGGCTGCTCCCCTGTCCTACCCTAAGAGGCCCCATGTCTCAGTGTCCCAGTAATCGCTGCAAGCACCTCTGAGAAAAAGCCGCCCTTGAATTCTGGCCGATGCCAGGCAATCCAGTTTCTCCCCATATGAGTCTGGGTCCCCAGAGACTCACCCAGAACTGGAGTTCAGAGCAGTCGGGAGCGTGACTCCCTCCGGATTCAAAAAGACAGCCATGTCCTCAGTTGCCAGCCCTTGCCACGTGCACCTCCGTACCTCTGCACTTTACTTCCGCACCTCTTCTGAGTCTCAGTGTGCTTTTCTCTTTCATTCTAGTTGTAGAATTTCTACTCAGCCAGCCTTCCTGTGGTTCTGGATGATGTCTGTTTTGTCTTTTAGTTGTATTTTTGAAGTGGTTGTGCGAGGCAGCAATTTCAGGTCTTTTCTCTTTCCTTCTAGTTGTAGAATTTCCACTCAGCCAGACTTCCTGTGGTTCTGGATGATGTGCATTTTGTCTTTTAGTTGTATTTTTGAAGTGGTTGTGCGAGGCAGCAATTTCCAGTGTTTACCTATGCCACCATCTTGGTTTCTCGGGGTTTATCTTACAATTGGAAATGTTAGAAATGCAAAATCACAGGTCACACCCCAAACATGTGAAGCTATAAGGGTAGGACCCAGAAAGCTATGTTTCAATTAAGCCCGCCAGGGATGTGTGCTGTTTGAGGATCATTGCCTCAAAGAAACTTCAATCCAGGGGTTCTCTGTCAGGACTGAGGATAAGAATTATTTGGGAAGCTTTAAGTATTCCTAGCCCCAAACCTACTTAGTTGAAACCTGGGAGTGCAGCCTTATTTTTAAAGGAGGGTGTGTGTGTGTACATGTGCACTTTTTATACTGGAACAGCGTATCTGAAGTTTCTTCTGGGACGGGAAGCAGGTGATCAAATTTTAGGGACAAGAGAAACATTTTTTACTATGTGTCTTTATACTGTGCATTTTTTTACTAAGTGCACATAATACCCATTTATATTAATTATTTTAAATTTTTTTAGCTTAGGGGGAAGAAAGAATCACTGCTTTAGAAGGAATGAGACATTAGCCAGCATGATATACGAATGAGCTAGATGGGAAAGAAGTCAGGCAGTGAAATAGAATGTGGGGGTGTTGGGCTGCTAAGGGGCAATCAGAGCATGAACAGAGGGAAAGTAACAGGAGGAAAGACAGTCTCAGCCAAAAGTCCAAGCAGATTATCCTTTCTCCATTTCCTTCCTGAGTGATGTCAGGTAAACTGAGATTCCAACCAGAGAGCTCAATTTATCCATAGTCAGCTTTATTCTGAATTAACCATCTATCAAGAGTGCACGTCAAAAGAGTAGAAAAAAATAAATGAGCCCGTCAAAAAAAGTTCCCTGGCAAGTGGGAGAGAGGGCATTTTGTTAGGAGCTGCGTTTAGAGAAAGAAATGGTGGCCAGGTCATGGATGCCATTTTTGTCAATGATTCGAACACTGAAGGCTGGCAGGTTCAGGATGAAGCGCTTCTGGAGCTGCAGAGACACAAAGGAAATCAGTCAACAAACATTCACTGAGCACCACTGATAGGTCAGGCTCTGACTGAGGCACTGGGCACACAAGCTTTTGTGAAGCTTATATTCTGCTGGGACTAGGACACTGAAGAAAACCCAAACTGCAGCTGAAAGCTGACTGGGTGGTGGTGAGCAAGAACTGGGAGCTGCAGCTGGGAGCCTGTCTCTGGCCAGTCAGCTGATGAAAGAATGAGACAGTCTGATGATCTGTTCCCCACAGTTTTCTACCAATCAGCCTGGTAAACACACACTTCTCTTTTAAAACGTTCCAAGGTGATAAGCCAAGAGAGGAGTGATCACCCTAAGAATAAGCTTTGGACCAAAGCAATGTACCCCTAGGTCCTAATAGTTTTCTCCAGTCACCCACCCATACTCTCAGGACCTGGTGTGTGTGAGTGTGTAGCTAGAAGGGTGGTGGGAAGGATGTTGGCAGAACTGCTCTTGGAACAAACTCTGCTTCTGTCTCCTCTAATCCAAGCTGACCTGTCATTAAAGTAACATTTCTACATCTCATAAGACTCTCTGCTTAAGAGACTGTTCCAAGGAGCTGCATGGTCTTGTGTGCATGGAAGCAGACAGACCACTAACCTAGCTGGAGATCACTGAGGCACAAGCTGGAGGAAATTTTTGCTCCCGTGGCTACCTTTCCTGGACACCTCACTTAATAGTCTCCAGAGAAAAGGCACGAAGTTCTCTACCTATTTCCTGAGGAGCCTATCCCAGATATGTCCTCCTCCCCAGGCCTACAACCCCTCCCTGTATGCTTCCCATCTCCTTCACTACTGAGAACTGGGCAGCAACAAGCAGTTCACTTCCAGATCCTCTCTTTCTGATGACTTATTATCCAGAAACACGACTCAAGATTAAGAAAAGGTAACAATAAGGAAATGTGGGTTTCTAATATGATGACGTTTAGGATTTATGAGGAATAAAGTCTCAAAGCATTTAATATTCAGTGGCTTCTTCCTGGCAGCTCCTTGAACATTTGGGGTTGCCTGGCTAGGCTAATATGACCTCTCAGCTGAATGGTTAAGAAAAACACACGAGTTTATTCTCAGCATCG